GAATTCCAGAGCATTGTGCTCATTCTGAACCCTAAGATCATAGAAGCATGCAAAGAGAGGCATTGTTCAAATAGAAGAAAGAAATGCTGTGTGGGTTCACATTGGGAAAGGTGTGTGTCAGGCCTGTATCCTCTCACCATAGTTCATCTGTCTACTGAACAAATCATCTGAGAAGCAAGACTATACAAAGACCCAGAAGAATGTAATACAGAGGAAGAGGTAGCCCAGGGAGAGTGGCAGGTCTGTCCAGACCACACTGGTGTGAGCTAAGAGGGAAAGAGAGAGAGAGAACCTCATCATGACCCACCAAGCCCCAGGGAAAACATCCCTGCTTGGAGCAGCCAGTGCAAAGAGAGGACTGTAGGGCCGGCCCCACCTCGAGACACAACTGTGTGGAAAGTGTGCCTGGTCTTCCCCACGCACAGCTGGGTGAAACGCAAAGGGAGTGTAACAGGGCAGCAAGGGGAGCAAAGTAACCAAGTCCCGAGGAGTCCTGAAAATAGACGTCTGCCTTAGGGGCCAGGGCCTGGCACCTCCTCAGACCCAGCTGGAAAACACTCATAGGGTCAGCAGACAGACCTGGAATGATCTATCAGTTTGTTTGTTTTATGGGTTTTTTTGGGCCCTATGTCTATCTATGTAAGATAGGCAGGACAAACAATCCTGAGGAGAAAACAATGGGACTGGTGGTCCTGGGGGGACAAGGGAGAAGACAGGGCAGCGTGGGGCAGTTGGGCACCAACAAACTCAGGGATGATGGAACAACAAGAGATCTAAAAATGATGGCGAGGAGGCCTGGTGGGGTTTGATCAAGTCCAATGTATACTGAGAGTAAAGTGGTAAGCATGATAGTGGCAGAGGAGGGTGAGCATGATAGTGGGACAGGAGGAAGTGGAAAGGAAATAGAGGAAAGGAGTAGGAAGCAAAAGCTATTTATACAGGTATAGCTATAGGTATGCATATATGTAAATATATTAATTTATAATGAAAGGGACAGAGGCCAATGTACATATATTTATATGTTAAAATATTAAGATAGACGGACTTAGGGCCTCTACTCAAGACCTCCCTAAACACAAGAACACTTAGGTCTAATAAGCTGGCACTCTCTGATACTCACCTTCCTGAAATGATCACTGAAGACAAAATGGGTGCATAAGCAAATGTGCTGAAGAAAGTGGATGGTGCCTGGCTATCAAAAGATAAAGCATAGGGGTCTTAAAAGCTTGAAGTTAAACAAGTGGCCATCTAGCAGGGAAGCCAATACGCTTACATGGAAGAAGCACACCAGCCTCTGTGATCAGGAGGTGTTGATGGGATCAGGTATCAAAAGATCTGAAATAAACAATTATATTGATGTGAATGAGGAGGGTTGGAGTGGAGACCCAAAGCCCATCTGTAGACAATTGAACCTCCCCCCACAGAAGGGTTACAAGGAAGGAACAATTCAACCAGGGTGCAGTATA